AAGGTCGAGTGTATGCTGTGACAGTTCGGCTGGTTCTGCTCAACTGCGCAGAAACTTGGCCATTAAGGAAGCAGGATAAAGATAGACTGTCGGTATTTGAACACCACTGTCTATGCAGCATTGCACGAATCTCGTGCGGCCACCGGACGGGCAACACTGACGCTCAACGTAGAGTTTTGGTTAATCGCGGTTAAAGCAAGTGGTCAACTTTTATAGATTACGTTATTTGGGGCATGTCACCAAATAGGTTTCGGCGAATAACTTTTGCCGAGACAGGAAGTGGGTGGAACAAAACCAAGGAGGGTCAAAATAAAACCTAGAAAGAGGGTATGAAAACACTAAACAAGAGACTCGGTCACATAGGCCCCGTTGGGCTCCCTGACTGGGGGCCCCGGGATGATCGTAACCAGTGATTAGAGACACTGAGCGACACGGCTGAGTGTATCGTAAACAGTGGTGTTCGTGCATATTTTCAATTTATTTGCCACCTAAGTCCACTGTCCATTCATTTTCTCTTTGAATCTACTTTCACCCCGCCTCTCTTTTTCCTATTGTTCGTCCAAATGGGCAGCCAAAACACAACAACCATAAACCTACGCACGAAACTTCGTATTTGTACAAAATGAAACTAAAATCTGTACCATGATTTGTGCATTACTAAAGTTGATCAACTATTTGATGACATTTTGAATTAGGTAGGAAGATAACAATGATTCATACTTGTAATTAAATTACTGTGATACGTAATGTAGTATTCCGAAAAATCTCACTCTTTACCTTGCTTTATAAAGTGACTTATTGCTGCTAGAATGATGGCGTTGTGAGAAGTCTACGACTTTAAAATATCCTGCTTTGGACGTTTAAAATACAGGTACGTCATTTATTAAACATACAATGACTATTGAAAATTATATTCGGCATCACGTGTGAGTGACCGACAAATGGTCAAGTATTCAGGAAGCCGATTTACAGAACAGCATAGGATAAGATTAAAACAGAATGGAAGACGTCGCGGACAATGCGAAATGTATTTCGAAAGCAACAAAAAAAATAATTTGGTGAGTGACAACCTATTATTTGTGCTGGGAATATCCACTATTAAGTCACGCTCAAATATTGTTTGTTATTTAGCAGAGACTAATCCCTACTTGATTCTACCGTTCGCATACAATTGTACGCGACTTACGCTTGAACAAAAAATTTCAACACTAATGGCCATCCAATAAATATGTTAATGATACCGGCAAACTTTGCAATAGTAATAGCAATGATGAAATAAGTCAGTGAAGAGAGGAGGAAAATAAAACCTAGATTCAAAGTAGACGGGAGATAATCATGTTGGTCATGGATCTAGACAGTCCTTTTGTTCTTGTTTCAGGCATGAAATTCATCAGTGTTGCGTAATTAAACATTTTATCGGATTCTAAAACAAATTTAATTATTACAAATGTGATTTGATCAGGCTGGTTTAGATTCTACTGACGTCAGGTACAATTGTCTATTTTCTAAAGTTATCCATTGCAATTGATGAAGCTAGTCCAGAAGTGGTTTATATTAACTCTAAAACATGGATTATTTTATTCTCTTTCCAATTAGCTTTAAATGAATGAAGCAATCCATGAAATAAATTGCATACAACGGAAAGTTGGTGGGTTTTCATCAGAAAGTGTAAATTAATCAACAATATCCTCAGTTTGGACGTTTCAGACTGTAGCGACGTCACAAATGAAGAACAAAGATATCGCATTCATCGACATCTTCAGAATATATTCTGTGAACGAAAATATTTCATCATTAGGGTTTCAAACGATGATAAGTCAATATGGCTGGAGTTATAAATTGATAACAGTTTTCATTTTCTTTACTGTAATGTAAATTAAGGAAAAAGTTAATTTTCAGGTAAAAAAAACCGACATCAATTTAAAGGTTTTGTTGAATAGAACAAAAGTTAGTTTGTTAGTAGTGTTACGACTGAAACTTTGGCTATGATTTCAGCCTGCATGAAAAAGAGACATCCTCAAATTGCGTCCGTAAAAGCAACGCATTTAGACTGAGGCTTTGTGAGTTCCTATCGAAATAGTCTGACTGCAGAAACTAAAGAAATAACATTTGTCCGTGAAAGTTTGTGATTCGTTACCGATCTTCTTTTTACGGATCTGTTCAAATAATCTGTTTAACGTATTCTATTTATAATCAATTCATAGAACTTAATGAGAACTTCAGCTTATTCCCTGTAGTAAATCTGTAGCATTAGGTCAGAAGTACGTTACTACTGTCTGCTGCAACCTCTACCCCTAAATTCTCTGACAGTCGAGATTTTAACCGCAAGAAACTATCAAGCAATTTTTTTAATTTACCAACATCGCACTGTGCTTAAGTGACTTAAAGGAACTTTAGGTAATCATTTAGTCTGCGACATGATTGATAAACCATTTACATCATGAATAAACTTGAAGTTATATTTTTATTTGGCGCTCTGGTACAGACTTAAAATAGAAATTCAAAGAACGCACTTCCTCTCATTCATAACTATTCTGAGGGTAACACGTGGAGAAGCGGCTTTACCAGCAGTCTGGGAGATTATAATTTTGATGGAGAGAACCAAATTTTAAAAATATCTTTTAATTAAAATGAACGATTACTTTGTGACTTTATCTCTTTGAAGACAAATAAGAGATAAATGTAGAAAAAAACATCAGTCAAAGAGGAGCTATTTATGATGTGATCATGTCGAGCTACGTTTCAAAAGACCAAAATGTTACGGGTACATTTGTCTGTCCATGGGTTACTTTGCTGCATTTAGCCGTACTAGATATACTCTATTGGAGTGGTACAGGAAGAGGGATTCATTGATCTTCTGTCTTGTTCCATAGACGACGTTTTAAAAAATTATTTGATTTAACCTTGAAGAAATAAATTACACGATAAAAGTCATAGTGATTATTTCGACACAACAGAAAAATACGTTTTCGGTCCTGACGCTTGACTATACGTTGACCTTATTCGGATTTGAGTAGTAATTTGAAAGTAGACAACGAAAAGAAAAACAAAATGTTTTCAAATTCGGCGAAATTTTTTTCCACGTTATTTATAACCGAAATGCATGCATTTTCCATGTCAGGGTGACTTTGGTTGTCTAAGAAAATTTGAGGACGGTATTTTACTCGGCGAAATGAAACCGTCATTTCACGATGAGTGTAAGAAGACCTTTATTCTTCGTGATTTCAAACATGGCTTCTGATTCATCAAAACGAACCACGCCCTAATGAAGAAGCGCATCGAAGTACGCAAACGCACCATTCATTAAAGCGTTTGTTGAAACTTAAATAGACCTTATGCTTTGAACACCAAGCATCGTCCTGAACAGGAAAAACGCAAAAGCTACTCTGGACTCCAGTATTTTATTCTCTTGGTAGCAAAACCTGCTACCGTGTCCCGCTTCTACGTAGCCCTTTGCGAGTGCGTGTTCGTGAAGGGCACAGGAACTGCGCTCGGGGAAGGTCGATCCGTAAAGTATTCTGTTGCATTTGATGATGCAGTAATTATTTACGCACTAAAGGTTTTGTTTCTTGAATTTCGGTGACTGGTGATTTTTGTTAGACTGGTTGTCTGTTAGCACGGATCAGGACTTGATAACACAGTATTAGTATAAAAATAGTGCCACTTTGAAA